ACGAGAATGGTCAAGACGTGACTTGTCATTATTTCGGCGAACCGTTCAAGTACGATTTGCCTACTGTCTGGGATGCGGTCAACTACTACCTGAAGCCCTACCAGTGCCTGTTTACAGACAACGGATATGTAGGTAACGATCTCGAATACAGGGGGGGGCGCGCAAGGGGGGTTGCAAAGTGGTTAGGAGGTGACTTATACGGATTCGACGATGAGGAGCTTATGGTAGCGGGGTACATGGTAGAAAGTTTAAACACGGGAGCACATATCACACGGGCTGGGAAATACGAACAAGGCGTTCCCGTTAGCTACTGTGACAGTGACGGCCCGACATGTCGGACAAACCTGTCGGAACATTGTCAATGTGACATGCTGGAAATGAGAGGCGAGGCCACCACTCCATCTGGCACGACCATTCGCTGGGGGAAGGTTAAAGACTACTTCACCAACCAGACTGAATTGGCAAAGTACTATACGTTGTTCCAAAGAAAGGAATACAAACTGACAAACTGTTACATTCTGTGCTACAGGCATATTGATCCCAAAGGGCACCTTCGGGCTGCCAGAATCTCCTGGGAAGGTGAATTCAATCAAACGCTTTGACGTGTCCTTTTTTATGTGTTGACCACTATGTTCTAAGGTGTTGACCACTGTGTTCTAAGGTGTTCTGTATTATTTTCACTGCGCTGTCCTCGAACCGGGGCTGTGCCGCTTTCAAGTTGTTCGCATCGGGTTGCTGTAATCTCGCCGGTGAGTTGGTCATAAAGAGTACTTCACCGACCACTCAGGTTGCTGGCGCTCACCAGTGTGTTAGAATCCCAGCCGTCTGCATGTACATCTGGGAGTTGTGCAATCTCTACCTAGAAATCGCTCTGCCCAAAGTGGCAAACACACGTGCTGTAATTCCACCCTTCGCGTCCTGGTATAAAGTCCGTCACACACAAAGTCCAAATTGATGCAAGTCCGTCACCTATTCATACAATAAGGCAAGGCGCCGACACAATAAGGCTTCTTCCTGAGTTGGCTTGCTGTGTCGGCTTGCTGTGTCCGTGTTCAATCACTGTGTCCGTGCTGCAAATTCATCCGTTTTGAAAACGTGTCAGACTCGCCCCTCGAGGGATTCGAACCGGGGATGTGCCCCTTTCAAGTTGTGTGCATCGCGTTGCGCGCGAGGACGCGTCGCACGGCCTCGTCGTCGCAGAGTTTGCTCAGGAGTTCGTGCACGAGGACGAGCACGCCAAGTTCTACGTGCGAATACAAACTGACCGTGTGCAATATGAGACACACCCACGTGTGGAAAACAGGCGCCAAACGCCGCACGGTTGCGAGTGCCGGTGCCTCCGTCCACGGCGTTGTGTCTCCGGCCGTGCTCGGCCTTGCGACCGCAGCCGCTAACTCGCGCGCAAACTTTTGTGCACGTCGCAACGGCATGGAATCGTGTCCTTGTCCTGTGAGCGAGTCTTGCTTCAGAACAGCGTCCTGCGCCTCGGGGGGGACATGGAGGACGAGGTCGGTGAGGAAGAGCCACAACAATTTTTCAGAATAGGCGGAAGCGGCGGATGCGGTGAGAGCGTGCTTGATGCGTTCAAGCACAGCCGGAGCACCCATTGTGAGCACAGGCTCCAGGTCTTCCCGCAACAACTCGCTCAGACACGGTAAATCTTCGCGCAGTCGTGCCACCACTATCGTCGCCGTGGCCGGTGCCGGCGTCTCCAGGAACCGATCGACCCACGCACTTACTGCGTCCTGCAAACATTCGTCCAGCATTTCTTTGCGCGCCCACCCATCGAACCAGTTCACTGCGCCCAATTCCGTGGACTCACGTTCGTGCGTGCGTCCGACGTCCCGCTCACGTTCGTGCGTGCGTCCGACGTCCCGCTCACGTTCGTGCGTGCGTCCTACGTCGGGTTCGGCATCGCCCCAGAGTGCGCGCGGAAGTGCCTCGAGCACCTCGGTCGCGCATACGGCACGCTGGCAACAGGCACAAACCGGCGCGACACCGAAATCCGTCTCGCGGTAGGTCTGGAGCAACAGCTTGTAATGTAATCTTCGACGTCGCGGAACCCCGCAAACAGTGCGCTCCAATAACTCAAACCACGACGCGGTGAACGCAGCCCATGGCACTATCGCACTAGCACGCACCGTATTCAAAATGCGGCAAAGTCCTGCGTCCTCGCACAACGCCACATACATCCGGCATAAATCCTCTAGAAAATATGCTTCACTGATCTTTGACCTATAGTCATCCCAGAAATGCATCGCCGCCGTGTCCTGCATATCTACAACACACAGTGTGTCAGTGTGTGTGTTAACACATGTGTCCGCGTGGTGCAGGTAGGAGGGAGCATACGTCCTTTCCGGCATTCGCCTTCTCTGCACTTCTTGGCGTTGGTTACAAGACACGCGTAGGCGTCATCCGCATCGGCGTTTTTATCGAGAGTCTTCGCCCACTGGAAGCTGGGTTTGTCTTCGTCGGGTTGAAAAACCGGTTGCCGGGCCGGGTCGGGGGCATTTAGCTGGTGTGCCAGCTCGAGTAGCGAGCCCCGGGACACACCCTTCTGTTTGACGGAGCGGGTGAATTGGCTCAGCATTTTTCGAGACGAATTTGCGGTGTGGCGGGCAAATTTTACGGTGGGGCGGGGGGGGGAATCGAACCTGAGGGTGGAAGATTCCGAGTGGGCCGGCAGGGGGAGAGGGACGAGGGGGCAATATATTTATGGAGGCATGGTTACGAGAGTTGCATGAAGAGGTTGGGAAACTGGAGGAGTGTCTGCAGTCCCGCGTGCCGCGCGGCTCAGACTACGCGCTGCAGTGGACTCTGAACAGAGTGGTGAAGCGGAAAGTGGACGCACTAGCGAACGAGACAATGACAGGTGTAATGAACCAACTCGCGAAGCTGCTGGAGTGTGCCTCGGCCGAAGATACCGCGTGCCTGCAGACAATGGAGCTCAACACACGACGCGTTGAGTACTCACTGAAGCTAGCGCAGCACAGCGGCGTCGGACTTCTTCCCTCGCCTTCGAGCCAGCACCGAATTCTGCCACTTACTCACATCCAAGCGGCGAGTGCGGGAGCATCCAACCCCAGCTTGGGGGCGGCGAGTCGGCGGCCGAGCAGTCCACAACGGAGCAGCGGACCAGTGATAGACGTCGAGGTGATAGATCTTGACGTAGCGCCTGAGGCGACTTCAAAACCGAGACATGGGTCGACAAGAACGTGTGCGGGGCGGCAGTCGTTGTTCGGGATGTTGGGTCGGAAGGATGTTGCGCCGGTGGTGGCTCTGCCGAAACGACGACGGGGTCCGAACTGGAGGTGGCAGTTTGAGCCGCGAGTGTCAGAGAAGGTGCACGCTCTGAGCTCCTTGGCTACAGCGGCAAAAGCAGCACGGCCCGGATGTCATCGGCGTTTGGTGCGTTTGGCGAGAGGTTTTGCAAACCGTGGTACGGGTCTCGCGGACTGCACCGAATACCTTACGTTCGTGCGTGCATGGTACGAGGCGGTGGGTGCGGAACCGCCTCCTGAGAACATTTATGCTGAGGAACTACGTGCTGTCCTTCAGCTCTACGAAGGTAAGGGTGACGCCTGGGGCTATTGCCTTGAGTCACTCGCCCAACAGACCCTCTTCACCGTAACCTCTCCCATACCCTACTCTACTTTACGCACCGATCGGTCCGCTGCGGCGATTTTGGTGGACAACGAGAATAGTTTGGAGGAGTTTATTGACCTGGTATTGACCATGCCCGCGGCAGTTGCGGGAACACTGCCGGCAATTGCGATGGATGTTGAGTTCTCCCAGGCCGCTAGCTTTCGCGGCCAGGTCTGCCTAGTCCAGATCTCTACACATAGCGCAGACTACCTCATTGACCCTCTAGCCATTCCCGCACACGCCATGGCCAAACTCAATGCTGTCACCGCTAACCCCGGCATACTCAAGGTGATGCATGGAATAGACCACGACGTCGTCTGGCTCCAACACGACTTCGGCCTGTACCTCGTCAACGTCTTCGATACTTACCACGCTGCCCGGGCCCTCCAGATACCCGGCGGCTACAGCCTCATGAACGTCATTCTCACCTTCTGCCATGTACGCTCTCACACACAGTCTCTCACACACACAGTCTCTCACACACACAGTCTCTCACACACACAGTCTCTCACAGATACATATGTTTAGATATCGTTGGATAAGGCGACGCAGTTGTCTGACTGGCGGATTCGACCGTTGTCGGAGCGGCAGATCATGTATGCGCGCGAGGACACGCACTACTTGCTGTATGCGTTCGGGGCGTTGCGGAACGCCTTGTTGACGCGTGCTGGTGCCCCGAATGCGGCGGGGCTGGCGGGGGCGCTGGAGGCCCTACGTCCGGCGTTGTTGACGACGCGCGTAGAGTCAACGGCATGGGGTCGGAGGCGTGTGCTCCAAGTGATGCGGGACAGCCAGACCGTAGCAGCGCGCAGTGTGCTGCACGGGCCGCCTAACATCCCTGCCAAGGTCGCCAAGACCGCCCTCCTAGTCTCCGGCACTGCCGCCGCCGGGAATGGGGCCGGGGATGTGGGGGTCATGAGTATAGGGTTACATCGAGTGCTCGAGACGGTTTTCGCTTGGCGCGATTTAACTGCACGTGAACGTAATGAACCGCCACTCGGCGCTCATGTACAACTGTACAAGGCACTCGTCAAGTGCCACCGTGCACCACACACTCTACCCGACGCACTTGCTCAATGGAGCGCCGAAGACTTGAAGCACGTCCAACAGCTAATACTAGACGTGGGAGATGACACACCCAATTACAACGACC